GATGTTGTGTGTTGCTGTGGTGCAGTTCATGCTGTTGTTGCCTTTGCTTTATCCAGCAGTTGGATGACAATCCATGTAGCTGTCGTTGAACGCGACATCGACGACGAGTGATCCACATCCACTTGCAATCGGCGCAATCAATACTTTGTTAGTTTTGAGCAACATGTTGCTGCGGTGCAGCAACTGCCGATGCTGCGACGCTGAGTACTGCGATGCTGGCGATGTTTGGTATGCAAAAAGGCAACTTTTGTTATCTTCATGACAATCACTGGCCCGGCTCATCCGTGTGCCACAATTGCTCGTTCGCTTTTTGCGCTTGATTGTCTTCTGTCGGCGGGATGTATGTATCTGGTGGAGTCCCCTCCATGTCGCTCCTGTAGCTGCAACATAAGCATGTTGCTGCTAAGGAAGATGATGATGATGGGAAACGAAATGGCGGCTGATATGGCCGCTCCATCGACTCCAACTCCAACTCTGACTTCGATTCCGATTTCGATCCCGATGATGATTATTGCAGTTCAATATTTGCCTTATGGCCATTTCGCAAGCGGCTCTGCCGTTTTTGTCGTTCGTCTTTATTTTTTGCTTTGTATAGTAGTATGTTGTACGTTGGCCGTGGCTCCTCCGCTGCCAGTTGTCAGTTGCATTCACATCAAATTAAATTGTATTTTGCAAAATAAATGAAATTAAAAGGAATGACAACAGCAGCGACAAGTGGAGCATGGCCGGAAAAGGCGAAGGAAAAAAAGCAGAAACTCCAAGCTAACGAGAAGGAGTCGCCGGAGAGATGGAGTGCAGCCAACTGCGACTTGGCAGCAGGTTCATATGCAATTTATGTTCCTTTCATTGTTTTTGCCATCTCTTTCACCTCCATCTCCCCTCTCACTCTCTCTAGTTGACTGTGGTCTCCTTTTCGGGGAAAAGCCTATGTTTCTGACCACGTCAGTCTAACGGCCTGTTAGCTAACTTGTCCTTTTCTCAGCTTAAATGTTTAAAAACCTAAAAATATTTTAAATATTTAAAAGAACTCTTTATGGCTTCGTGTCGGAATCAATATCTCCAAGTTCGCCAAGGCCACGCAAATATCGATAGTGCAACTTGGCCGATCGGGCAACATGCGAATGTTTCGCTGCACGTGACTCTGCTCCAGCCCCACTGTCCCCTCTCAGAACCAAACGAGTTACCTGCCGCCGTTGCAGTTCCTCTGGCTGTGCCTGCTGCAACTGGGAAATTCATTTTGTTGCACTCGCCGGCAGTTGGCTTTGAGCGGAAGCGATAACGTCTAACAAATTAAGCCATGTCCCGGCAGCAGGAGAATCGGCACGGGAGGACTTTATTAGTTGAACCCCAAATGGGGCAGGGGGAGTAGGCTGGAGCAAGGCATGGGTCTACCCGGGGGATTCGAGAGGTCGAACTTCAACTTGTAAATAAATAAAAGCTGAGTTGCCATAAAACCCGATGCCCAATATCATATTCCAATCAGTCCGGCACATTAAGGTAAGTGGCGAAGGTTCGAATAGGATAACTTTCTACACTGAGGTATAATATTTCGGGTGGAGGTAGAACTGCTCCCTTTTTGATTATATTTTCTTTAGACTTTCAGATCCTTTTCTTCATGTGTAGCTGAGCATTTCGGCAAATCGATATTCCTTGACCGTTGCAAATTATTTTTGGCAAATATTACAACAATATTTTGTGACCTGTCCGTGAGGGAATTGCCCTTTACCTCTAACTTGGAGGGGATGGCGAAGAAGTTCGATTTTCGTGCAGGGGTCTGCGATTTTATGAGATAGCCTGACAAGTTTATGCCACCTCAGTTGCATGTACGCCCGCCCCCAGGACGCAGGCGGGTCGTAAAGCCAGCTGACGCACCCGGGGCGGTGGCAAGGCCGACCCGAAAGGGGTGGAGTGGGTGCGCCGAGCACACCACTTAATGGCAATAATAAAGTGGCACAGGCATTCAACACTTTGTCAGTGGCTTTCGCGCTGTCTGGCCGCATTTATCATGCTCTCCAGACTATTTTGACAAGTTATCAAAATGAAATGCAGCCAACAAGTTGCCATAACAGAACAGGGCCAGAAAGCCGGAGTGCCAGAAACAGACAGGCAGGCAGACAGCCCCTCACCCTCTCTAGCCCTGTCATAATCTGCTTCACGGAAAAGAGCTCTCGACAGACGACAAGTGTATTTATGTTATGATTTGGATACCGCTAATGACAGCCAGACTTATCGTCAGTATCTTTTGGGTGGCACACCACCAGACGCTCCACTGGCACAGAGGTTGATGTGTGGAGACGGGGAGTCCACATTTTCAGCGCCCCCATCAATCCGGCGGCTGCCTTGTAGGTATTTTCACACCTTAACGCATCGGAATTGGTTTCGATTTGGGAGCTGCAATTGGGAATCATCATTATGGAGGATATGAGAGCTGCCTCCCCGCCATCACTTCCTTCAGATGTAAATGAGGCAGAGGTCGAGGGGAGTGAGTTACGATGGCTGGGCTCTATAAATTTATTAGGGCCAGATAGGTGAGTGCCAGATGGATATATTTAGCCAGATAGATAAATAGACGCAATCATCCGCACGAGGGGAATTCTTTTAATAAAAATGTTTAGGCATTTACATTTAAAGGAAATATTCCATTTAAATTGTATACTTTTATGCCATCTGCGGACTCCATCTTGAGGCAAACAGAACCAGTCGGCTATGTTTATGGCAACCTCAACATCGAACAATAACAATGACACCAGCAGCCCAGAGAGTGGAGCTTGCCAGTCTGCAACTTCCAACATCAGCAACAGCAACAGCAACACAAGAGCCGCCGAACGCCGAATGCCTGGCAAGGACAACATGAATAATCCATTTTTCGAAACACTTGTCCAGCACCAGGCCCCGTCTCTGGGAGATCATAGATAGGGATGGAGAGGCGGGGGCCATCCCCTTTGTAGGTGTTGTCTAGATCTTGGCCACGCATGCAGGAGCTGGAGCTAAAGCTGGAGCTGCAGCCGAAGTCAAGGAGTCAAGGCTGGATGGCAGCAGCAACACCAGCGCCGAGATTAAAGATTCCTCCATAAACAAACAAGCGAAATAATTGAGGCAAAATTGAAGCAAACTACTCGGCAAGGTCTTCCCGGGGCGGGAAACCAGTTCGGGACTCGCGGTGCAACAATTAGCACGGAATTTGTGGGTGCCATAAAACGCGCTACACGATGGCCGCTTGTTCGTTGGCGGACGCTGCTATTGCTGAAAGCCATTGCAGTTTTCATTTTCATATCAATAAAAATTGCAGTGTCAATGGCAGTGCAAGTAACGGAGCTCTGCAATTAGATGTACTTGGGAGTTTCGGATTAAAAGCCACAATCAAGTCCTGTGCCATTGGCCAAGTTGGACCTCCCTATGCTGGCGCCCAATTAGACACACTTCAAAGGAGGCCACGGTATGCCCGCCCAGCTCCTTCGGTGTCCATCAAACAAATGCCATCCGCGACTTCTCATAATTCCCCACACCCAGCCAAAAAATTATTCTTTATATGCAGGTCGGGCCTGGGTTATTATTCATAGACCGTTTTCGGATGGTGGCCTGCATGCAGACAGAGTTAATTACGCGAGCAGATCAAACAAATTGCACGCAAAATAAATATAATGCGGCCCCCAAAGACACACTCCGTCTGTATAGACAGAGTCCTGGGGTAGCTGAGATGGGAGAACCAGAGAAATGGGGTTATTAAGTTGCCCGACGGCTGCTTATGATTATGATCATGAAAATTATGTCTGGGCATCGGCGTGATCTTGAAATTTTCAGACCAGACATGGCATAATTTCTCATCGCTCATTTCGACGCAGGAGGCCGGATTCGTTAGCCCGGCCGTGCTGCCACTCTGGGTCGGACTCCGGGCCTAATGGCTCCACCCGTGCGGCTGTTAATAGCCCCCAGGATCCCCCTAGACCCCTCTGAGGGACACTTAACGGCTGCATATGAAATATGTGAGGCCATGAAATGAGCTAAATTTCTCGGGAAAAGTGCAACATTGTGGAAAATGGAAAATGCAATTGCCGGCAGTGCGACATTCGGTGTTGCAAATAGTTTTTGGCCCGGAGTGTTTATGGCTCTGAGGACGGAGAAGTTCTTTATGGGAAGTTTTCAAAGTGATTAATTCGCTATAAATCTCGGGCATTGAATTGAGATGCCAGCCATGGGCCCTGAACATTCCGAACTTATGAATTTTAATGATAATATTTCATAGCAGATTACCAGACACTTGCCCCATTTAGTGGCATCCATTGTTTCTATTATTTTGGCAGACAGCGCCTGTCATATTCGCCAAAACATTTATTATTCGCGGCGACATCAAGTTGTTGCGGTCTACAAATTATTATTTGTTGCACTGTGGCAGCCAGAAATGACAAGGGAATAATTAAAAGTTTGCGACTACGAGGAGACTACTTACACATTTTTCTGGGCAAGTGAATCGAGAAAAGCCAGAAGAGAACAACATCTGTTGGGGCATTTTGATGGGGAGTGGCACGGGATGATGAATGGGCTGCGCGTGGCATGTGGCACGACGATCGAAGCCGGGGCTGATGCAGAGGATGGGGCAGACACAGACTGCTGCCACTTACCAAAGCTGCCAATTTGCATGAATTTATTGAACCCATCGCCAACACGATATTTCCAAATGGAATCCCATTCACTTCCCGGAAACGTGAAATAAAACTCCGGACAGCGTTTTCTTTGCAATTTCGCACGTGGGCTTTATTTTTGATCAGTTTCGTCGACTTCCGATTTCAATTTTTATATGCAACTACCACAGTTTACATTAAGTTTATTTATCAGTTATGTATAGTTATTATATAGCCATAAAATTAGTTAAGTTCCCACCTAGCAGCCTGCCTGATCCGCTGGCGGAGAAAGCCTCTCGCCTTCCGCTTTCCCCGTTTCTCAATCCGCTATTATTTTTACAACTTATCGGCTAAACTTAATGCATTTAAATGCCTTGAAGATCGCTATCATTTAACTTTACTATATATATGTATAGACACAAAGGATATATTCGTATATGTAGAGGTGTGGGGGTGGTGTGGGTGGTGTGTGTGTGGGGATGGGTGTTTGAGTTTGTGTCGGTGCTACTTTGAAGCTTAGAGTAGGGTATGCTCAAGATATGTACTCCACAAAAACCATCGGTATTGCCCCGTCAAGTATCAACTTAGTTTTCGTCGGTTTCCTCGGGATCCCCGCCACCAACGGTTCCTGTCTCCGCCTGATCCTGACCAGGCTCCTCCGCTTCGTGGCCCATTACGTCGTTTTGATTGCTCTCCACCTTGATCCGACTAAGCGGATGCCAAATGTTCCCACCTGCCGCCTCATCCTCCCGCAAGGATGGACTCTGGGCCGGCTCCGGGGTGGGTGACTTGCTGCTGCTCCTCCTCTCCAGGGCATAGGGATGCTGTCCCAGGAACCCTGGAAAGCCCAGAAGTCCGGGCGGATATGGATACTTGCCGCCATTGGCAAAGGGGGGCGGGGGAATGCTGGGAAAAGCGCTAGGGCTCAGTTCACCAGGCTGTAAGGTAATACAAATAATACATTTTGAAGAAATGTAAAGAATATGAGATAAATGTAAGTTAGGAAATTATTAATTAATTAATTTATAGGTACTAATAACTATCTTTTTTTAGATTCTGAGCTCACCTTTGGCGGCAATCCATTGAAAAAGGGTGGCAGGTAGGGAAAGAAGAGTTCTGGGCGTCGCTGCATAAACTCCTGCTCGGCACTGGATCCTGGATGACCGGCTCCAGAGTTCGGCCCGGGACGCATGGGCAGCTCCAAGGACATCCGACGTCCGCGTCGCGAAGTGGGATTTGTCCACATGTGGGTGCCCATGTGTACCTAAAGAACCGGGCGAAAGAAAAGCAAATGGGAGGACTTAGGTCAGTAAGGAAGGCCATTAAGGACCTTCAGAAGCGATAGTTCCAGACGGGCACGCACCTTCAGATTCCCCTTGGTGGTGAAGGCCTTCTGGCAGACGTTGCACTGGAAGGGCTTGTCGCCCGTGTGGGTGCGCATGTGGATCTGGAGGGCAGAGCTGGAGCTGAAGTTTCTGCGGCAGACATGGCAGAAGTGCTTGTTGTTCACCGGCGGATCCAGGCTGGAACTCGGCGGTCCGGCAGACATGAGAGCCTGCTGGAAGTCGAGCGGACTGGCCGGGAAGCGATGGGCATCTGATGGAAGAGATCTGATGGGAAACCGAAAGGATTGGGAGGAAAGCAACCACTTACGAAGCTGCATCTTCATCAGGCTCTGCTCGGCGTCGACGGCGTCCTGGGGATAGTTGGCGGCGCCTCCACCGGCCACGCCAGAGCCCTCCGCCGGAGAAGCACCCTCCTCGCGGACGGGCTGCTCCTGATCGGGCTCCTCTTTGATGGAGGCAGCCCCCCCATCCGAGCCGCTAGACTCAGGCTGCGGCAGCTTGTCACTCGAAGACTTCTTCGCAAACAGATTGGGATTGAGAGTGAGCTGAAATGCGTTGAGATACAAAGTTATAGGGCGAGATACTTTCTGCCTCGGGCGCTAATTTCTGCGCATTTTCAGTTAAATGTGCCGTTAATCCCCCATCCCCAGCCCGCACCACCCTCCGCCGCAGCAGACTCGCGCCTCGGCAATTCATTTTCGCCAAAAACATAATTTGCAATTTTTCTATGCCATCGCGTGTAATAATGCCAACTAATTATCTCGGGCAGACGATGCCGCGGCGGCTCTCATATTTTTATGGCAAAACAATTGCTAGCCAAAGGGGTAAGGGCGCAACAGGGGCAGCCGCAACAGAATCTACATGCCACAAAGTGTCCCGCGGCAGACGCGACGAACAAAAGATTAAATAATTTTGCATAAAGCGTAGCATAATTTATTTGCAATGAATGCATGGCACAGGCCGCCACTGATGCGGCACAGGGACTATATCTATCCATCCTATGGGTATCCAGAGGAGAACTAAAAACCCGCCGGATTGCCAGATTTGCCAGACTTGGCAGACGTACTCGCACATTTCGCATCATCATAATGCATTCTCGTAATTACTTAAGATTTTTGAATCATTTAGAAATCCCAAGCCCTAAAGATGATGCCGATCCCTAGCCCTATTCTCGTCTGGTTTAGATCATCAACAATGTGCTAAGCGAGCACGACGGAACGTGGCTGCTACCCTGCCGAAAGAGACAGGCAGCTGGATAGGGTAAGAGATGGGGCGATCATATGGGCCAAGGGAGCACCCGCTGATTACCGAATGAAAGTGTTATGACACTTACACTGCCATCGCAGTTCGGGCCGAAAATGAATACTTTCGGTTTTATATTTAACCATTCTAATTAATCTCACTTGTTCCGCGGCTTGCTGGGCTGTGTACTAGACTTTGGAAATACTCCAAGAATGCGAGCCATAATGAACGATGTCATTAGTCATAGAGACAATGCCGGCCCCGAAATATATATTAATACGCGCATTTGTTTCCCAAATCATGAGCTGCCAGCAGGCGCTGTGGCGGACGCACTTTAATAAATAATTGGCATTGTTGGGCACTAAAGTCCCGGGCACTTGGGGCTGCTCCAAACCTTGGGGCTGCCAACGCCCCATAAGGGGCGCAAAGCGGAACGCCAACAATTAAGGCAGAACTATGCAAGTTGGCCACAATTTCTTTATAATAAGGAGAGCCCGGCCCGGCTCCCGGAGCAATTAATAATGGGCTCATAATTTGTATGGTCGCGGCCTAAACGGGCCGAGACCCACCGACCATATTTGGCCAAATCAAGACAGCCCTCGGGAATGGTCCGGACCCGTGAACATTTTAATTAATCATGACCAAGGCAGGTCCGGGCTCGAGACTCCATATGGCAGAGTGGCATCAGTTCTCAAGGCGGGAACTGGATTGGGAGGTGGGATTAGGATATGTGGTGGTGGTGCAAGTGCTGCCATATTTGGGCTACCGGAATGTTACTTCATAAAGGAGCATTCAGGTGATTAGCCATAGAACTAGATACTTTAAGGAGTAACTTTAAGGATAGAGATGCATGAAAACTCACCTTGGCTCCGTAGGGCGATCCTGCTTCACTGGCTTGTGGGCGTAGGGCTGCGGCTGCTGCTGCTGCTACTGTGGAGGCGGGGGCGTGGCCATGACCATGCCCCGGCGCCGATTCTTTGGCATGTTCCGTCTGCAGATGACTTTCCAAGGCGGCCAAGCTGGGCAGCATCTTGAAGCAGAGGTTGCAAACATTGGGGGGCGGGTGCAGACCTGAACAAGACAAAGAGTTGGGGTCAGTGGGGGTGGAGTGGGCCACATGCACGCTCGTATATAATTTCCGCCACGTGCTGTCTGAGATCTGGCTGGGAGCTGCGAGATATGGTATAATAAATATCCATCCCCGGGAAGAGGTTGTGACATAATGAGGCGACAGATCGCTGCTCGATCGCTTCGCGTCGGGAATGCGCCAATGATTTTATAAATAAATTGCGGAATTCGAGGCATATCGGAGCAAGGGACTCGGACCTGGAGTACTCCGAGTGCTCGGCGGATGCTTTGTCTCGGTCCAATTGAGTTATGTTGCGCTCACCAGCTCAGATCGCAGATTTATCGCAAACTTGGCAAACGGCGACGGGGTCAAAGGTGGCAGACAAAGAGGCTTTGTCATCTCGAACGCAAAGTGAAATCAGACAACTCGTGGATGTATATGGGATCTATACGGGATATAGTTTATATATATTCTTTGCACTTGACAAAGCAGAACTCTTCGAACCAATTTGGGAATGTTTCCCAGACGCAGGGCATCTAGGTTTTAGTCTTAAATGGATTTTGAATAAATTACTTCTAGAAACTCACCCATAAATCCTAGAGGACCGAAGGGCAGCAGCGGAAACTTGGCGTGGGCCTGGCCCAGGGCGTGCATCTCCTCCCGGGCGGCGGCCATCAGCAGCAGATTCGGAGGCATGGGCATACCCAGCATGGGCAGGCCACCACCCGCTCCGGCTACACCTGGACCTCCGGTTCCGTTTGATAGACCAGGTCCGAAAATTCTTCCCGAAGCCGAAGAGGGCGACGAGAGGTCCATGGCGGGCAGGTCCCCACTCTCGCTGCGTCCACCCCCGAGATCCGGATTCGAGCGCGATCTCTCGTCAGAGCCATCATTGGGAGGCCCTAATCCACCCGATCTCCTGTCCCCTGGATGCGGGGTGGCCGTGGCGGCACTGGAGTTGTCCCTGGAGTCGTCGGTGCTGTCCATAGTCATAAACTCGTCAAAGTCGCCGCCCTGCGAGGACTCGGATCGCTGGCCCGAGTGGTCCGAGATGGTGGTCGAGAAATCCAGGGTGTCGGAGGTGCCCAGCGACTTGTTCGAGTTCTGGTCCTCGATGCCCAGCCGTTCGGCCTCGCTGGAGTTGGGCGGAGGAGGCGGTGCCCCCTGGCCACTGCCGTCGTCCATCGTGTGGATGCGGATATGCTGCTGCAGGATAATGCCGTTGGAAAACTTCTGGTGGCACACCGGGCACTTGAACTGGCTCCGCATCGGCGGCTTGATCTTGTGGATGCTCATGTGGGCCTTCAGGTTGCCCTTGGTGGCGAAAGCCCGGCCACAGATCTTGCAGCGAAAAGGGCGCTCGCCGGTGTGGGTCCTTATGTGCATCTGCAAAGAGCTGCGACAGGACATGACCTTCTGGCAGAAGATGCACTGATTCGGATCCGTCAGCTTGTTCTCGATGTTATCCACCAGCTGCTGGAGTTTCGACGTCTCCGAGGTCTTGTCGATCTCGATAAGGTCCTCCCAGGATTTGTCGATGATGCGCTCCATTTGGGCCAGGGAGTACTCTGCCGCCGGCTGTTGGTCGCGACTGGCCGAGGAGGAGGATGAGGAACGTCTCACCAGCTTGGCAATGTGCAGCTGTTCAGCTAGGTCGCGATCCCTTTCGTCCTGCGGAGGACTTCCGGCAGCACTGCTGGCCTGGCGCTTGCGCACCGAGCCATTGCGCCGCGATGGGTGTCCTTTGGAGGTGTCCTTTTCGGGCTTTGGGATTTCGGGTGGTGGCTGCTTGATCTCTGGCGGTATTTCCGGAGAGGTTCTCGAGATCTTCTCCGGTTCCTTGGGCTTCTCCCGCTCCCTTTCCTTTTCTCTCTCCCGCTCCCTGACTGGCCTGCTGAGATCCTCCGCCTGTGGTAGTGCCTGCTCCGCCTGCCCTTCACCTGACCGCATCTCCTCTGGCACTTCTTGCTGTTGTCCGTGGCTATCCTGTCGACCCTGTTGCTCCTGTGGCGCCAGTGGCCCTGGAGGAGCAAAGGGGAGGCGCACTGGGAATTGCTCGCCCTGGCCTGGCGGTGTCGCACCTACCCCCGGCGGCAGCAACATGGGAGGAAAGATCTGGGTGTGCCTCTGATAGTGCACCTTAAGATTTCCTTTGGTGGTGAACTTGCTGCCGCAAACGTTGCAGTGAAAGGGACGCTCGCCGGTGTGGGATCGCAGGTGGATCTGCAGCGCCGAGTAGCTGCCAAAGATCTTGCCGCAGTACTTGCAGCGGTGCTTGAAGATCTCACCCCGACTCTGGGCCTCCTTGGAGGCGTACTCCGAGTACTCCTCCTGCAGCTGAGCGGCGTGGAGGCTCTGGGAGGCGGAGTCCAGCACCTCCTCCGTGCGACGCTGCAGCATCTCCAGGCAGTTGGGCTCGTTGGGAGCCGGCGGAGGGTCGTGGTTGGTGATGATGCTCGAGGCCAGGCTGGAACTAATGTCGCACATCAGCGGCTGGTGGTATTCCGAGCCCGACGCCTGCTCACCTTGCTCCTTTGACTTGCTCTCCTCCTTGTCAGTCTTTGAACTCTCCTGCGGCTCCACCTCTCGCTCTGGCACCTTTTTGGAGTTATCCTCAGGGTCGAGCACCTCCGTGTCAGCCTCCGCCTCTTCCTCTTTGACTTTCAACCCATTCGGTGGCTGCTTCTTGGGCTCCTCATCATCCGGCTGATCGTCCTCCTCCTCGCTTTGGGACTGCCTCCTGCCCAGGGCGGCGGCCTCCGCCCGTTTCAATTGACTCTGCAGATGCTGGATGAGCTGCAGCTGCATCAGATGCTGCCGCTGCACATTAAAGATGGTGGACTGCACCATGGCCAGGTCGGCCTGTGACTGGGAGCCGGTACCGCCAACGGATCCGGCCGCCAAAGCGGAGGCCGCGAACTGGGCCACCGCCACTTTGGTATGTTGTAGGGCCTCCAGGGAGACGTGACCGCTGCCCGGAAGTGCGCCCCCTCGACCGCCCGAAGATATCACCGACAGGTCCAGGGCCTCGTTACTGTTGTCCAGCTCTTGATCCTGATCCTGGTCCTGATTTTGCACCAACTCCTGGCCCTGCTCCTGCTCCTGTTCGTCGCCCATTTCCGATTCGGGAACCGTGTCCATTTCCAGTGCCGGCTCAGTGCCATTGTTGTTGCTATCCGCATCCAGCTCCTTGGCCAGCAGCGTCTCCCGCTCCCTGTCCCGGTCCCGATCCCTGTCTCGCTCTCGCTCCCTGTCCCTGTCCCGCTCTCCACTGCCGCTCCTGGTGGCGCCTGTTCCGCGGTAATTGATGCGGTTGCGAAATATTGAACACATTATCCTCCCGATCTCCTCCTGATCGCAACTCTCACTGAAATCTGCTCATGGACTGCACCCTGTATGGTTAGAAAAAAAAATGAAAAAAGAGGGTAGAAGATACAGGGAAATCTTTTAATTTACGCACATTTTCTGGACAACAACACTGTGAAAAAATATTTTTTTTAAATAAATACTTACATGAATAATAAAATGTATGCAAAAGAAAAAAGAAAACCCGCTTAGATATACTTTTAGTTCTTATTTTTCCGATTTTCTATAAACTTATGACTATTAGTTATAAAATTATTCAAAAATCGATACACTTTTTAGTAACAATATTGGCGAGAGCTACTTTCTTTTGAACAATACTTTGGGTGACTTGTAAGACCAGTAGTCGAAGGCTACTTTTGGATTAGAAACAAACTCGAGACAGGACCTTTGTGTAGGAAGTTTCCATAGTCTTGCAGTGTTATTTTCCATGATTTATGCATATGACCAGATCTCGTCACGTAAGGAGCAGCCGGTCAGACTTTATGATAAATTTTTGAATATATGAATAGCGGCGTGTCGCAATTTTAGACGTCGAATAAATTAGCGGCGTATAACTTAATGGTAGCCTCTGGGCTGGAAATCACATCGGATTCTTGGGCATTTCGGAGTTGGAGTGGACTCCTCTGAACCCAAAAGAGTTTTGCATGAGGGAGAGTGGGTAATTTATTGATTTATTACTTCGAATCACTCAGCATAACTTTCCGGCTAGCCGGCTCATTGAATTTGAGCCCAGAACCCAACGAATAATTCCCGTCCCTGCTAATTTATCGGCCTTTGGCAAATCTCTACTTTATATAACTATTATCGACGTGCAAGTCTCACCCTCAGGAACCCAAACACCCATCCACTGGCTTCCTAGTTCGACTTTCGAGAGTCCGTAAAACACAAATCATACAAGTGGCCGGTCGGAAGTTTGGGAAAGTTTTGGGACAGTCGGGTATTCGATCGCGCTATCGGGAAGTATCTTCGTCCTGCGAGGAAAATACCGAGACGCAAACTCAAAAACAGCCAACTGTTCAAAAACTTTGCATTAGCTGCCGTCATTTTGGATAAAATTAACTTTTCAATATATTGGAGTACATTTTCTTAAAAAATTTAATACGATTCGATCGAGAATGGCCAACTACGAGGAGAGGAGAGGAAGGGTATTTCGAAATCCCAACTAAAGTATTCGATTTGTATGCGCCACATAAATTTTCGGAATAAATCGATTTCAACATAATTCCAAACCATTTCTGAGTTACACTTTCAACAGGCCCACAAATTCTATCTCCGAAAATAAGGCTTGTGCACCATCCGCATTACGGCCGATTGCTTTATGATTATTTCCCGGCAATTAAGTGAATTTATTGGCAAAGGTAAACACTGCCACGGCGAGTCTTGATACAGCACGAGTGTATCTGTAAATGTATCTGAAGCACGAGTGCGTGGCGCACACGCACCGACCTCGACCATCGCTACTCCTATCAATGGGGTTGGGCTCATCCGAAATCAATTTGCCTAATGCTGGGAGGGAGGAGAGGGGGCAAGAGACTAGCGGAGCCTAAGACGGAGCCTCTGGGCCTGGACGAAGTAGGTGTTAACCGAAACCGGGCCACAACTTATTCCACTTGAGCTGATTTTCTTGAGCGATTTACGCACAGCCAAAAACATAAAACTTCCGCAATTGCCAGGCGCTCCAAGAAGTTCCACAAGTCTGCGGTGCCCGCCACCCACCCATCCACCTGGGTGGAAAAGTCTCAAGCCTTCATTTCCTTTGTCACTCCACTCGAGAAGAGTCGAAGAAAAGCCGAAAGAAAAGGCCGAATTCGAATGGCCAAAGTTTCCTGTCAGCAGGTGGTCCACCGGCTCCCAATTCTCCCAACAAGGAACTCTAAATCTTTGGCCCCGAAGTTCTTCCCGGCATCAACACGGCGTCAATCATTCGCCCAAATCGTGAATTATGCTCGACTATATATAGGGTGTTTCCCTCTGCAGCGGATATTGATCAAAATTCATTGCAATTCGCTTGATTGATTGATGGCAAACGCACATACTTCTCTGTATCTCTACAGAGTATATCCGGGGCCAGTTGGTGTGCTCTGTTTTGGAAGCCATCGAATGAATGAACCCGCGGCCCAACGTAAACAGACACTTTGGAAGTCTGGCGGGGCACCGGAATGGAAATGGACATGGAAATGGGAATGTGAGATCTTGATTGAAGTCTGTTGTTTCAAGCGTCGATCTGAACAGAAATGATTGTCAGTCCATGGACGGATATCACTTAATTGAGTTTCTAGTTTGTTTTTTGGGGTGCTAGCTAGTGCCATTTCTGACATCTCCACTAGAAGTTCCTATAATACTTATTTAATATTTTAAGCTAGTACTACCAACTCCTAACACCCAAAACCACAAAGTTAATAAAATACTCTCAAAGCTGCAAAAAAAGTGGAAATTGACTTAAATTTATGAGCTTCTCTTGCTAGGTAAGTCTGGTTAAGTTAACCCCCAAGTGGTTAAGTTCCCCTATAAAGACTGGGAATAAGCGGAGTTGTATTGACCATTTTGCTTGAGGGTCTCTGTTGGCCAACCAGCCAATGGGCCCGGCTCTCGGTGTATCCGGGCCTCCCTTACAAAATGTCTGCAAATTTATTAAGCTGAAAAAATTTTATGAGTTGAATTGGTATAATTTTCATATAATTTTTGAGAAAGAAGCGAAATGGAACGCTGCCAGACGACACGGGGGGCTAAGCGCCGCCACACACACTGACACTGACTACGAAAGTATCTGTGTGAGTTCGCCGGGAAATGCAAATGCCTGTGTAGTTGTGGAAGGGACGAAGTGAATGAATGAATGGCCTGGGAAGAAGGCTGAAACATAAGCAGACCAATGCCAAGTGGCCGGCACCGGGGGGAGCCAGTTACTCACACACAGATACACCTCACACACACACATAGATACTCTCACAGACAGCCTGGGACTGAAAAGTCCGGTCTGGAGGAGTCCGGCTTGTAGATGAATTTGTATTGTTTTGCATTTGCTTTTGGGGCGCTACTTTGTTTTTGCCTCTGCTTTCGCTCGCTTCCTCCAGTCCTCTGACCCCTCTTGGGTTTTTGTTTGAAAGGAGTAGAAGCAGAGAGGGATGGGAGGGGAGTTGGGGGGCGGTAGGTTTGCAGGAGGGTTGGTGGAGTTGTTAAGCTGCCATTGCAAACAATTAAAATCATAAGAGACGCACATAAATTATTCATGGCTTAATCTAAAGTGGACAATCTATGCAAAGTACCAGGGCACACACACAGCCATACGTGTATCTGGTCGGACACTTGTTTATAGCCCCTGTCCCTGACCCTGCTCTCGCCCACACACCTCTGCTGGCCATTTTTGATATTTTGCCAATCCTTGGCCCGCACTCGTTTCGTTTTAATTACTCATAAACGAAGGGAATAATTGCTTTCAAGTAGCTACCTCTGAGTTCCTTCAGTATCTCCTCTTTGGCTTTCGGGTTTCTGTGTGTTTTTTTTGGCAATTAGACGAAACAATGGACGAGTTTCACCTCTCTTCACCGACCTCTCTTCGGAATATCGCATTACAATATTAATTGATTCGAAAATTCAAGTCAATTCACTCGAACGAAATTCGCATTATTTATTTCCGCCATTTAAAAGTGCCACGCCAAGCCCACATTCGTTTTGATGAATATGAATTGAATTTGGTTTATTACCCGAAAATCAACCAAAACCCATAAAAAGCCAACTCTGAGGCTGGTTCTAACAATGTTAGAATTGAAATCGGCATCCAACTAATAAATTTTGGCCGCGAATAAGCAATAAAAATTCAATTTATGCGGCTTATTGAATTAGCGAACAGAACAGAAATTTCAAAATTGCATATTCGCAGGCAGGTGCAGATAGATACATAGATAGAACGATAGATGGATGGATGGATGCATGCATAGATACATATGTAGATTCGCATGTGGCGACTTCAACGGCCCACATTACAGAATCACTCTGCGAATAATAAAAACATTTTCACCAAATATTCGCATTCGAAAAATATGCCACGTACTACGAGGAGGGACTGGGAGGGAACAGATACATTTTATATAGATAGATACCATGGCTGCACACATTTCTGTCATAACACAAAAGAAATATTTTATCCGTCCTGTGTCCGTGTCCGGCTGGCAGCCTGCTTTTAGTCTTTACCCTATACCCAGTGTGGCGTATTTATTATTAAAATGAAAATAAATTTTATATCAAATACATAAGGGGGGCCACGGCGATAAGCCAATGGCTGGCGACAAAAATGAGAAATAGACTGACCGCCTGAAAAGCTTTTCGAATTTTTACAAATGAATTTATGAGCAAGCCAACCCACAGAACAAGGCAGACGGATAGATACATCGGGTGTCTCAGAAATGAAATCGCACGACTCATAAATTAATTAAGACAATAAAACGATTAAACGAGTACTTTATGAAGAGTGGGGGCTACGATATACACAGATCTTGAACTCTATTTCTTTGGGTGTAAAACTTCTTCAGAGTCTCATTCTCTGTTTAGATTTTAGTTTGTATCTTTGTATCTCTGACACACTGACTCTTGACACCTGTCATCTTTTCGTTTCAACCTTAGATGGCCAATATCCCAGGGATCTATGGATTTTCTCCCTGCACCCTGCCCCCTGTTCCGTGTTCATTGTATTCTTGACATGCGTTGCAAGTTTTGCTTGCATCTTGGGCTGGGGATATTGTTCAAGTTGGCTGTGTTGTTGTCGTTGCATAACAAGCACCCACAGATAAACAGATACTCTGATGCACAGATACAGATGCAAGCACACATCCCCTGTCATATCCTGAGGCACAGACATGGAACATCTCGGCAGAAGCCGAGCATCGACCTACGCCCATGTCGGCAGAGTCACCCTGTCACTTGACCCCCAACCCTCCTCCGTCCCACCCCACCCTGTTGACCACCTTTGGGGCACAAAGTAGTTGTATTTATGTTAACTTTGACATAAGCTCAACATGCAACTTTCGGGCTGCTCTGTTGCAGTTGCATGTCCTCGCATAAAGTGTCAAAGTTAAATAATCTCGCCACTCCAAGTCGGAGGAGCAGGGGACTGGGGGACAAGATGGGTGTTGTGGAGAAGTAGCCCTAGGCTCTATGGGGATCTTGTGCAATATGTACTCTCCGAATTTGTAGGTTATTCAGATGGGAAGTGGGCTTGTGAAATCACGAGTATATGTATATCCGGGGATATTCACTTTGTGTTTGTCTCAGAAAGTCAACTACAATGAGGAAATATTTATGAAACAGGATTTTGGAAAGGATTTCATTTAAAATTAAGGTCTCTAGCATATGCATTAATCTTAAAATTTGCATTTCCATCCTACATAGTCTGTAAAACACATCTATGAAATTAAAGTTTTCTTACACTTGGCTGAACATAAAACTAATCAAAGTAAAGTGACATTAGAGAGGTTCCTCTACGATATTATTCCCCATAAAGGGGTTGAAACCTAAACTGGTTTTTGGATAACCAGAGAATGCAATACATTTTCCAATAAATTAAGCATTTTTTCCTTAATTTCTGATGATATTTTTCGTATTATGTTTAGAAACTGACAAACTGTTTCATCTTATTAAAGAGTTACTGTAGTAACAGTGGAGGGTGGTTTTTAAGGATTAGTAGGATTATTTGAAGAGACTATCCCACTCCCAAGGATATTACTATATTTTTTTTTTGTTTGTATTTTTGGTGTAATACTAAATACTTGCAATAGAACTATTAGAAAATAAAATCATAAATTGTTTTTCAAAATATAAACAATTATTTTGAAAATATTAAAATCGAAAACTCACTTTTGTAGGCGCCGTCTTCTTGATCCTTTTGCTGATTTTGAATATTTTTTGGCTATCCTTCTATTGCCACCATCTTTGTATATTCAGTCGTGTGGGGAAAGTATCTCTCGGATGCCGACGGCAAACCAGCACAGTATTTACTTGAGATGCCAGAAATATGCGATGCCAACAATATCAAGTTTATTGCACATTTTGTTAGAGCTCCCCCTTGCTCCCCCCTCTCTGGATTTGTTGTTGATGTTGGCGCTCTCTTTCTTGGCTCTGCTTTTGTTTTTTACTTTGGCGGGTTTTGCATTTTGACGTGGATTTTATGATTAATTAAACACGCGCGACCGCTCTCACGCACACACCCGCACGGACGCGGGCCGCACACACACACACGCCCACACAGTCAGCCCCCCGCCCCCTCGCACGCACACTGATACACCAGCACATGGATATATGCGAGGCGGAGGCGGCGGAAATGAAAACGCACTGCGGTACCGTTAACTGTTAATATTCCTACTTGTGATGGAGGTCTAGGCCTGGTTATGAGTGTGCTTTTTTTTCTGGCTAAAAATTAGCTGGCAAGGCGCTCTCGACTGGCAGGCTGCTTTTTGGCTAACTGACTGGCCAAGCAAGAATCGGAATCGGAATCGGGAGTCGGAATCTCAGACTGAATCCGAATATCCCAATCCGAAAGCGAGTATCCGAATGCGAATACGAAGCAGTATGTCCTTATCGCGGGCAGAGAAGCGCCACGCCGGCAGCGACTGATGGCAGAGCAGCGACTGCAACTGCGACTGCGACTGCTACGTCCTTCCCGAAGCGAAGTGGTTGCCGCGACTTTATCTTTCTCAGTAAAAAAAAATCCACGCAGGAGCCAACAAACGCCGCCAAAATTCGCAGCAGCGAAAGCTTCGCTCTCTCCCTCACTCGCTTTCTCTCGCGAGAGAGCTCTGTTACCGTTAAACAGCTGGGGAAGCGGCGTATAAGACTGCTAACCGCGAGTTAACATTCTGTTACGGCCTCGCCACTATAGCTGTGCTCCTCTAATCAGAAAGAGAGCGCGCCCTCTGGCCCCCCAAAAACGATTCTCTTGGGTGGGGGGGCGAAAAAAGAAAGAAAAATCGTTTCGCCCAGAAAGCGTCTTCGTTTTTTATGAACGTGCGCATCGGATCGGCAAATAAATAAAAACGCATACATATATAGCAAATTATGACAACTTTAGGCGGAGCAATGGCTACGCTGGCGTCGACGGCGGCGCAGGACCCAAGGTTTTTTTCCTTCAGACTCCTCGTTGACTCCCCCAGTCTCAATCATATTTCCTTTATGTGCTAGAGAGTGTCTTCCGCTGCGCCCTTTATTTATCCATATTTCTTTTATGTTGGCTTTTCATGATGCTGCAGCAACAACTGAGCTTCTGCTGCTGCGGCATCTTGGCCGAATGTCCTTTTATTCGCCAGCAAGGATTTCGGTTTGCCGACGGGAATTCAGCAAGGCAGAAAGGGCTTTCAGATTCTTTTGGTTTTAAATTAAAAATACTCCCTAATCATTGCTCATTAGCTAATAATCATGATAAGGCTAATCATTTCCAGGTATTTGCATTTAAATAAAAATGTAAAAATCCTTCGGCTATGATTCCCAAACTCCCGTATGCATAATTCATATGGAATGCTACACAGCTACCGCCAATTGCAATTCATTTCATCCCATTCGATGCGATTCTATTCGATTCGATTTGATTTGATTCCATTTCGGTTTATTTCGATTGAGTGCATTGTCGGGATCGCATCACGTACAGCATGAATCTACAATTTACATGGTGTCTATATACACATTCTGAATATCCCTATATATGACAACCCTTTAGATGGATTTTATTTAAAATGTGGTAGGGGGAAACCAGCTGCCACTTATGAGTTACTAAAGTACCAAATCGGTGGCAACAAAAATTCAAAATGGTTGATATAAAAAATGAATTGAAAAATGAAAACGAAATGCAAACCGAATAGACAGATCAAACAAAGGACTCACGCAAGGCAAACAGTAGTGTGTCCTTTTTTGTTGTTGGTTTCCCAACCACCAGGAACATCCCTACTTATAAATCCTGTACACCTATACATGTGTATTTGATATCAAATAATAACTAACCCTCGGTACTTATGCCTTTTGGCAAATTAGCAGGCTGTACGTTGAATCGGGTTTAAAAAAATATATTCCGAGGAGATGGGGGAAAGATTCTAAAAACTGATCTGAAAACATGGCAGCCTCCATAGACACAAAGTCTAAGAAGTCTCCTCCCGCAATCCCCCTATATTATTTATAACAAAAGAATTCCCCAACAAAAAAAAAATGAAATCGAACCCGTAACCCATTTGGAATCGTGTTCCCAAAATTTTTTTTTTTCATTTTTTCTCATAATCATGGCGGCGACCCCTTGCCCCTCTCACTCTCACCAGTGCATTGGAGCGAGACAGCAAGTGGCATTTCTATGCAAATCATCTAAAAAAAAAAAATAATAAAACCAGTTTTCCTTCAAACAATTTTTGATGACGCCGATTTGTCTCCACAATCATAAAGATCGTTACCAAAAACAGAAAAGTTTAAAGGAAAAACAAAGAAATATTGAGGAAGCCCGCGAAGAAGAAAAACAAATCAAAGGCTTTTCCCGAACAGAACATAATTAAATTTTGGAATAAATTATTACCACACATTTTGGGCAGCAAATGCGACAAATGTACGCTTGACCCTCGACATCAAAAAATCGAAGAGACCTCTTGGAACATTTTTTATAATTTTCGGTTTCTCTCATTTTTTTCCTCCCATTTGTGATAAGAAAACGTGAGAAGTTAGGAAAGGTTATGGGATAGGTCGGCGGGATCAGAGAACCAAAGTCATTCCATTTTTAACCTAAACTTTTTAAGAAAATTATATTTTATTTAACATAAAGATAAAAAAAAAACAAATTTAAAAAGCAGAACTTTAGAATACTTTAGTAATAGTTGTATAATACTATAGTTGTTATATAAAATGTATTCTCTTTTAATAACTGCCTGAACCTTTGGTTTCCCCATCCAAATTTGAATTGGAAACCTTAACCCATTCCAAATTCTCTATAAAATGTGATATGCACGTCTCGGGTCTCCGATCAAGATCGTTTGGTGGGTCTTCAATATATTTTCTACAATATATCACGTGTGGCTGGAAAAGAAATAAAATAAATTGAAATTGAAGTTAAAGCTGGAAAAGTTCTTTATTTTTATTTGTTCTCATTTGCCGTAAAATTAAGTACTTCGGCAGTACCAAGGGTCTCGGGTTAATTTGGGGTTCACAGGGTTTACTTAAAATTTAAATTTAGTTTTCTGGTCATAAATTCCTGTATTTTTAAGCCATTCTTTGCCCTGGTCTAGTTCTATTTTTCTTTGTTTTCAGGTTTGGTAGAAATATATCACTGGTATTATTATTTCATTTTGATTTATAGAAAATACATGAAGTTTCAAGTTGATTCCTATTCCTATTTATGTATTTCTTGGCCTCAGATTGTTCTATTTTTGTTTCGGCTTATAGAAAATATAAATTTTATATTGTTTCTTTAAAATCTATTTTTATTTATTTTTAATACAAACGGCTTGGGTGGCGGAACATACGTGCTGCTTTTCTCACTTTTGCCCAATTGAAAGCAAATTTAATTTGCCCGAAAAACACAGAGACAAAACCCGAAAGCGAAGCTGCCAAGCATTTAAGAGTTGACCTTGTCTCGGGCCGGATGGTGGGCGGTTGGGGGCGGGGCTTTTGGCTACGGCTACGACTGACTACGGCAACGGCTACGGCACTTTGGGCCATTTACTCGATTGCGTTTAATCGATTTCTTTGTAAACTGGAAACCAATGTCAACAGCCTCGCAACACACAGATACAGTTACAGATACGAATACATTTGCAGATACAGATACAGATACAACATTCACACAAATAAACAAATTCCTGGCTGGCAAAAGGAGCCGACGAATTTGCTTCTTTCGAGCGAGAAAACATTTACACACTTAAACGAAGCAAAAGCAAAAGAATTCCTTGTGGGGTTCTCGGGTGACTGGGTGTCCGGGTGCTTGGCTGCCTGGGTGCCTGGCTGCTTCAGTTCCTGGCATAAAATCTATATATCGAAAAGAAAACTAAGAAATTGTAGTGCAAAGAGGGAAGGAAACACTGTCCCGGGACAGTGCAGGACTTCCTTTCTCCAGCTCCGGCTCCTCGTCCTGGGGGCGACTTTTTCGCTTAGGTAAATAGTCAGACACAATCCACAGTTTGTTTGTGCGAGGGAGAGCTGCAGAATGTATCTGTTGGATACACATCGAGTGGCAGAGCTTTGTCCTTGTTCAGCACCCATTTTAAAGTGCTGCCATCGATTTTTTTTTTGATAGTGTTTTTATCCCCAAATGGAAAGTTTGTCGATTCATAACTCAACTTTTGCGGCTGCCATTGGCAATTAACACGCCCACCGTCCCGTACCGCCTCGGCAAACCATCATCATTCCGAATACTTAATGGCAAATTTATGTGGCGATGCATTCTCTCCTAATGAAAATGGAATTCATAAAATAAAGCCACATAAAACATTAATGCCGACTGGGGGAGGAGGTCTATATATACATATCCGTATGTGTCTTCTTGGCTCGTGGCTGCCACATGTTCAGATCGGAGGAGTTCTTTCTGAGATCGCCAAAGTCCCGCCCCAAGAGGCACATGTGGAGGAATTTCCAGCCACTCATAAATTATGTGAATCATATTTTAAAGTCTTTCAAGCAAATATTCATTCAGACTCAGTTGTGGCGATTTAAACAGATAATTGGAGAGTCTTGCATTCCTAGAAACTAATATTTTATATTCCAAATATTTCTTAGTTTGCTTTAAGTTAGTGTCTTTAAACGCAAACCACTTGCCTGCCAGCCATGAAAATTTAATGACAATTGTTGCATTTAAATGTTGGCCCATTTAGTCGGGCTCCTGCAGCCCCTCGGAGCCACCCCTTTTAGCCAACCCCCATTGCCACCCGCATTAAGGGCCCCGACAAAATCGATAAGGTCCAAAATAGACATGTCTGTTCAGTTTCGGGCTTTAAGTTCCTGGCTTTTCTTCCTTTTTTCGCTCCTGTGTCGCTCCTGCGACGTCAACAAGATATATTAGCTGGTTTCATTATGAGGGAGAATCGCTTGGTACGTTCCAGGATGCGTCGAAGAGTGATGAAAGTGTTCAGAGTGTGTCCTGTGTGCTGTGTTCTGTGTCCTGTAGGCCCTGTTCATGTGTGAGTGTGACAGCCAACTCTCTCTTCCTTGTCTGCTACAATTTCCGGCGGCTTCTAAGCGAGAGTCCTTGCCAATTGCCCGGTTCTTGCTCCGAATCCTACTCCTGCTCTCCCGCCAAAAAAAAGTTGTCCATCCACGCCCCCAACTGTCTGCCCCACGAACCCCTTCCGGCCCCGTTCCCAGCTGCCCCCACTGACTGTCTGGGTCTGGCTTTTTAGTCGCCATCGTCTCGCAGTTTCACTTTTTGCCAGCTGCTATTTCCCCAGCGCCCACTCAAATTTCCATTGCGTATGGGTGGAAGAGTCTTATGTACAGGCGTTCTATATATCCAGACCATATACACACATCGGGGGCTGCCACCAAGAGCTGCAAATTGAAAAAACCCAACAAAAAAACGAGGAAAACTGCGGGCATTTTTATGTTAATCAGGTCAATGGCACGTCGAAAGCCCCAAACTCTATGCTCAAGCTAGAATTGGGCCAGTAGTGGTGTCCTCTAAAATGGAAACACACAAAAGCTTTAGTTTTGTCGAACAAGGTC